TCAAGTGTGTTCCTGCTGTATTCCAGTGGCAAAGGAAAACCTGGCAGCCACCAAGCCAGGATGGGGAGAAAGAGTAGGAGGAGGTGCAGAAAAGAGCCACAAGAGTTACTTGAGAGCTGGAAAAAATGCCTGTGAGAGACAAGAAAAGCTCATTCTGTTCTCCTCTTCAGACTGAGCAACTTGAGCAGGGTGTAGGAGAACAGGAGGTGTCGGGGCTCTGGAACCAGGTGGGAGGGGAACTGTGCTGTCCCTGACTCTTGAATCAATCCCAGTGGAGCAGCTCTCAGCCAAGTTTGGGACCAGCAGGGCCACAAGGAGGTGGCAAGTGATGGCCTGTGACACACAGGAGGCAGAGCAGTAGCTGAGTGGCCTTTTTGGAGGATGTGATGAGGGAGAGGAAAAGGGATGTGACTGAAACCTGCAGCTGAAACTAAGAGGACAAGAGGGAACAGTATCTAAACAGGAGATGCTTAGACTGGATATTTTGGAAAATTTCTTCATGGAAGGGGTGTCCAGCCCTGGCACAGCTGCCCAGGGCAGTGTTGGGGTCCCCATCCCTGGAGGGATTTAAATGCCATGTGGATGTGGCACTTGGGGACGTGGTCAGTGGTGGCCTTGGCAGTGCTGTGGGATCACTTAGACCCCACAGTCTTAGAGGGGTTTTCCAACCTGAATAATTCAGTGATTCTGTGATTCTACAAGTGCAAGTCTTGGGTTTCAGTGGTGGTTTTGCCCCCGGGCTTGTTAACACCTCACTGGACACAGGTGGCTTTGCTCCCTGCAGGGTCTGTGTCTTCACTGCTAACCCATTCCTGTCCCTCCCTTCCCACCCCGCACCTCTTCCTGGATGAAGCTGAAATTATCACAGCCATTCTTTTTCCACCCTTTCCAACCTGTTCCACCACCCCAGGACACGGTGACTTTTTCTCCTCCAACCAAACCAACCCCTTGGCAGTGCTGCCAACAAACTGGCAGAGCTGAGCTGAGCTGTAAACACAGGGCAGGTGTGAGCTCTACCCCTACAAAAACAACAGAGCAGAGCAGGGTTTATGGTGTCAGTAATTGCTCTGGCTCGTTAAAACCGATGCAAACAAACCTGACTAATGAAGGTCAGGGGCACACCTGTTACCACAGTTGGCAACAGGGGGAATTTTTGACCTTCAGGTGCCTTTGTTGCCTGTGCTGCCAGCACCACATGCCTGGCACGGGCACATGTGCCAAGCCCTGCCTTGCTCTGGGGCTCTTTGCTGGAGCTCTCCATGCCCAAGGGATGACTGATTCCCTTCTCCCGTGGCACGGTGCCGAGGTGTGTCTGTCTCTCCAAGGCCTTTGTTAGGAGAGTGTTAACAATTAACTCCTCAGGCAGCAACAGAGCCAGGCCTCCATAATTTAATCTTAGTTAACCATTCAGCTGCTTATCTCAGAGCAATTTTTCTTCTTTCTCACTGGAAGGCGTTCACTGAATGGTTTGGGTGGAGTGGGTGCAAAGATGCAGTTGTTATTTTACAAATCACTGCATTTACAATAACATCTAGGAATGTCCTGGAGCTGCAGGCATGGCTGGAAACCTTGGTAAGAGGTGGACGTGCAGAGTTTGCCTGGCATAGCTGGGGAAAAGGACATTTCACCCCATATTTTCTGCATCAGGCATCAGAATTTTTGCTGTCTCCAAGACGAGGATGCGGCAGGAAAGGCCAAGAGACCACTGCAGGTGGATGGGATAGGGAGGAGTGTGTGGATTCCCAGTGTCCCTTGTCAGAGAAGGTCACCCAGCCATGCTCGAGGGTGACTCTGCTTTCCTCCTAAAGGATGGACTTGGGAATGAAATGCTGTTAAAGGCAAAACCTGGCTTCCCTCAGCCTCCCTGTGATCATGGACAGGCTCAGCACCCTTGGGAATCACCAACAAAGTCTGTGAAAAGTTCAAACATGAACTTTCAGTTCATGCTCCCATGGAAGGGAGGCAGTTCTCATGGAATCATGGAATAGTTTCGTTTGGAAGGGACCCTAAAGATTATCCAGTTCCAACCTCCTGCCATGGGCAGGGACATCTTCCACTGTCCCAGGTTACTCCAAAGCCCATCCAACCTGGCCTTGGGCACTGCCAGGGATCCAGGGGCAGGGTCTGCCCACTCTCAGTCAAGAATTTCTTCCCAATATCCCACATAACCCTGCCCTGTCAGCCCGAAGCCATCCCCTCTTGTCCTCTTGCCCCAGAGATGATAAGATTTTAGGAGAAGAAATGTCCTGGGGAAGTTCTTAGTCACACATTTCCCCAAACCTGGAAGGAATAAAAAAAGACTGCTGCTCTGTGCTGGAGCGTGGCAATGTTATTCCTGTGCTCAAAATTTGATTTCACAGTTCGGCTGAGGAACAACCAGTGTAAACCCTGACTGGGAACTGGAGCTGGCCAGAAGATACAACCCCAAGTGTTGTTGTTCTCGGGAAAAAATGGCCCTTTTTGGCAAACAAAGCTGTACTGTCAGGGATCTCTTGGCACTTCTGGAATCTCCTTAATAACATATTTGTAACACTTGTCTGTATGCTCTGTTTATCAGATCCCGGGTTTGCAGTAAACATAAGCTAAGAACAAGGGGGAGTTTTTTTTCAGAATATTTTCTTGGATGATTCCCAGTTCAAAGAAAACGCTTCTTGTTGTGTTGGCCTTTTTTTTTTTTCCCTTTTGGAAGGATCAAACTTTCCAGTGACCTCATCCTGCCCTCAGAGAGTCAATGTAAATGTGCAAATGTCACCGTGAAATTTACCCAGTGAGGGAAAAGTAACCTGAATTTCTCCCTGGCTGGCTGGGGAGCACTGCAAGGAGACAATGCCACTTCCTTGTCTGGAGCTGAGACCTTCCAGCACATCCCTCCCGTGGTGCCTGGTGTCCCATAAAAAGAAGTCACAGCCTATAAAGATTCCCAAAGTCACTGAAAAGCAGGTTATTCCTAAATTAGGAGGACAAAAAGTCTTCCCTTGACTCATAAAAATCCAAAGGCACTGTTGGTTGAGCGCGGCTTCAGGTGGGTGTTCTCCATCCTTCCTCATCACTGCACAGCCCAGCCAAGTCTCCAGGTGCTCAGCAAGCACCTGGATTGACCCCTGGGCATCGTGCACTCGTGATCTGTCAGTGGTGATGTTCTTTGGGAAGTGTCTTTAGGGTGTGATGGCGTCAGGAGCCTTTGAGTGCTGCTCAGAGCAAAATCCAAATGTCACATGCCACATAGGTGACCAGACCCTGCCACTCCTTGCTGCTGGCAGGAGATTTGTCACTTATGACCAATACACACTCGTGTTTTGGCTGTGGTGGATCCCCCCACGTGCTCATGTGATCCTCCTTTACTGCCTGGTCTTTAGACTTTCATCAGGGAACGACATGAGGTCACCTGCTGGGGACAGAGGTGCAAACTGCAGCGTGTCCTCAGCAGGGACCACAAAGTGCTCACTTAATGCTCTTCGGTCATAAAATCCCAGAATGGGCTGGATTGGGTTGGAAGGGACCTTAAATCCCATCTCAACAGCTCTGTGTCCTCTCCCTCTGGCACAGCAGTTGCCACATCTGCCCCTCAGGCTGTACTTTGGTCAGGGCAGGGTGCTGGGAAAGGGGGAGGAGAAGCCTCCAGAAATGCAGTTTAACAAAAGCAAAGTTGAGCAGCACAGACCCTGCTTTAACCTTTTTAATTCTTTTTCCATTCCATTATTAGTGCAAATAGCAAGGCCCTGTGAGACACCACGTGGGAGCTGAGCTCCAGACCTCAGCCTACTCTCCAGGGAAATAAACCCAGTTCTGCTTTACTCAGGGAGGGCTGAATGAGCATCCCTACCCCAAGGAGAGGGAGAACCGCACTGAAATGGGGATTTTCTCCACCTCCCCTTCCTGCTGGTCCTGCCTGACTGCTGCCTTTCTCCAAAGGGCATCATCATTTTTATCCCATCCACAGGGAAACCTGCAGCTTCTGCTGCCCTTAAGTCCTGCTTTAGTCTCCATGCTGTCAGGAAGGTTTATCCTGGAAAACCTGGAACTGAGGTGCCTGAGACAAAAGAAAAGCATCAATTCTGTCCCATGGGGACCGAGTCAATGCTCAGCAGGGCAGGTGGACAGTGGTCAGCTGAGTGGCCACAGCTGTCCACAAGCCACTGACTGACCTTGCTCCTCCAGGTTTGGTTCAATCACTCAAAATTTGCAATGCACTTTTCCCTTCCTTCAGGCAATGAGATCCTTGGCTGGTACAGGTTCAAATTCTCCATCATTCAATGAGGCAACAAAAAAAAAAAAGGTTGTTGTGGGTCTTTTATTTCCATAAATAAGATTTTACATCTTTGTGTAAAAGCTGATGAAGAACATCTAGACAGCTGAGAATTGGTCCCAAGGACAACAATAGTGAATGACAACTTTTGAAACCACTGTTTGAATGTTATCCATGTCCCATGGCCTGGTTTTGGCCAACTCAAGGCACAGTATAAAGTAAGAATCAAATGGAGAAGGGGAATAAAGATTTAAAAGGAAATTTATCATGACACCTGCACAAAAGCATCTTTTTAAAAGCTCAAGTTCAGGCAAGCAACAATTCCACGAAAGAGATGGAAATTGTGTTGCTTAAACCCTGTGGTGTCATCCTGAGGGATGTGATGGAGGGAGCACTTGTATGAGCCAGGACCAGGGATGGAGACCTTCCATCACCATGGGAACACAAACTTACTAAAACTGGGAAAACTGACAGAAATAATTCAAGCTTGGGCACAGCAAATGGTTGTGTCTCACCGATGCCTTAGAGCTGTGCCTACTAAAATCCACACAACTCACTCCCCTGGTAACCACAACCCTTGGACTGAGAAGATTAGGAGCTCTTTTTGATAACAGCGGGTGGGATTTGGGGAATGCTGCTCCTCCAAGGGATCTGGGGCTCCCACATAAGAGGAGAACCCCATCACTAGGACATGCAACGTGCACGACAGACAAAAGCCATCTCTTTAACAACACTTTTCCCCTCCTTGTCCCAGTGCCACTGAGCTGTGCCTCCACCTCACCTCTACGCTGCCATGGCCACGCTAGAGACGCTGCCCGTCCTCAGTGACCCAACCTACCCCAGCCCGGAGAACTTCCACGGCTTCTCCCCGCGGTATTCCCAGACCATCCCCAGGAGCGCCATGGGGAGCGTGGGCAGCGGCGTGGCCAACGAGCAGGAGTTCGCCATGAAGAGCGTGGGCACGCGGACGCAGAGCGGCGGCCGGCAGACGGAGGGGCCCCGCAACGGCTACTCCGTAGCGCGGGACATCTCCCACCGCTACTCGGGCGAGGAGAAGACCTACAAGTCGGAGAAAGTCTCCAACTCCCTCTACATCAACGGCGAAGCACGCAAGAGCGAGAAGGTGAAGGTGGACATCTGCGGGAACGTGACCGCCAACAACGAGAAGAACCTGCCGCCGCCGCCCCAGTACCGAGAGCCCGGGAACCCACCAAAGATTTTGCCAATCTCCGGCAAACTAGACCAGGTGAGGACCTCCTGGAGCAGCTGGGTGGCCGTGGCGCTACTCTGGAAGCATGGGCCAGGAGGCATTGGGCATCGGTGCGATCTTGATGGTCTCATTTTTGTTTTGTACGTTTTTATGTAGAGATGGTAAAATTCTTATGACTTTCAGGGGCGTTGTTAGTTCTTGAGGAACCCAAGAGCATGACCACAGGTCTTCCACACACAGCTCATTTAAGTCACTGGCTATTCCAGCTTCCCTGAGATGTTTACCTTCCTGAAGGATGGGGAGGGAGCTGGAGTTGGCCCCTGTTTCAGTAGGTCCAGCAGCTGAGCCCCACTCGTTTTGTGTGTTTTGTGCCTTTTATAGGCAGTTTCCAACCACCCACTGACACCTAAAGCTGTTGTTTGAAAGCAGGCACGAGCATCTGTTCCTAATCCCAGTCCCCTTGTCAGGGAAAAGGCTTGGGAACTACCCCTGTAAACGTTATCTCCCAGCCCAGCCCCGTCCTCATGGCTCGTTTTGGCTTCAGGGAGCAAAATCTCCCAGGCCTGGAGGAACAGAGCCACAGAGCCAGCAGTGTTTTATGTTGCTTGCTGCTCTGCTCCAGTGACTTCCATAATTTGTGTCCAGTATTATTTCTGCAGCATTTGGTGGCCTTTTCTCCTGGGTTGTTAATCCAACAGCCCCTGCAGTCCATCTCAGTCTCACACTTGGTCTCCAGCCTCCAACCTGTTCAGTGGAGCTTATTCTGTTTCTCCCGAAAAGCATTTTCAAAATACCTTTGCTTAATCCAGTTTAATTTTCAGCTAAAATTCAATCTGCAGTAGGGGAGACTCAATCCCATTTTGAGGAAAATTTAGTTTCTAATGGTGCATTGATGGGGTGAAGAATGTGCAAGGCTTTAAAATCCTTTCTAAATCCCTTACAGCTGTGGTCTGTTGTCCCCCAGCATTGCTTATGCCACAGAAAACACAAATTTCAAATGAAGAGCAGCTCCTGCATGTTCCTTGCCTGGTGTCACTGCTGTCACAGCTCCTACCTGCTCCTGTCAGGACAAGCAGGACATGAGGTCCCCACAGGCACAGCTCACTGCTGGCAGGAGGGAGATGTGATGCTCCTGAGGCCAAAGGGCTGCTAATCCAAGGGTTCACTTCAGCTTTCAGCAAAAGAGCAATGCACCTCAAGGCCAGAAATATAATCAGCAAAAATTAGAGTTGTTTTGGTCAGGTCTGGTAAGCAAGGGGCAGCCCTCCTTGTGACAAGCACTAAGGATTATTCTAGAGAAAAATCATGCAGGTTTGGGGTGAGTCAAGATGGTTTCTTTTCAGCTGGGGGAAGGGAAGGCAAAGTGTTGCCCTTTGAGTGACCACAGGTCCCTCATGTGCAACCCAAAAGTGTAACAAGGTGGGATAAGGGGCATAAGCCCCACCCTGTGCCGATGTGTGTCTTTTGTGTGCTGTTACCGAGCCTCCTGCTGTGTTTGACGCCTGCTCCTTTTTCCTTTTTGCAGAGCAATGAGCCCTTAGTTAGACCCTCAGCCTTTAAACCAGTAGTTCCTAAAAACTTCCATTCCATGCAGAACCTCTGCCCGCCGCAGAGCAACGGGATGGCAGAGAACAGAAAGAGCTTGAACCACGCCAACAGCAATAGCCCGTCCGCACCCAAGGGTGGACTCGACAAGAGCAGCCTTAACAGGACTACAAACCAGGGCGGGGGGCTCTCGGATTCGGGCCGCAACTCGCTCACGAGCCTGCCCACCTACGGGACAGGCTACAGCCAGCACGTGGGCCCCATGAGCGCCTCCACCAGCCACATCAACCGCATCGGCACCACCTACGTGGAGAAGAACATCGTGGGATACAACGGGATATCTACCTCAGACAGCGGGCGGTCCTCCAGCAAGAGCACCTCATCCTTCAACAGACTGAACCATCTCAACGAAACAATGCCTTTCCACTCGCCCTCCACCGACGACATCATCCAGGACCTGGAGGATCGGCTGTGGGAGAAGGAGCAGGAGGTGCTCCAGATGAGGAGGAACCTGGACAAGAGCGAGGCGGCCATCTTCCAGGTGTTTGAGGAGAAGCAGAAGATCTGGGAGAGGGAAATGGAGGACCTGAGGCAGAACTATGCCAACAAGTTGCAGCAGGTCTCCAAAAAGGCGCAGCGGGCTCAGCAGGCTCTGCAGCTCCAAATCTTCAAGCTCCAGCAGGAGAAAAAAAAACTCCAGGATGACATGGGACAACTCCTCCAGCAACGAGAGGAGCTGGAGAAGAAATTTGTGGCTTTCAAGAAGGAGCAGGCTGAGTTTCTCCCGAAGATTGAAGAGACCAAGTGGGAGGTAAGAGCGTTGTTGTAACAGGCCGTGAATGAGGTTTCCATTGTGGGATCTGGTGGCCCAAAGTACCTCCCACATGCCCCAGGTAGAGCCCACAGATAACAGCCATGGGTTGGTGACCTCCAGGTAACAGGTGGCACTTGTCACCTCACTTGTCTGAGTCGCAGGCCTGCTGATTTCAAGTAAGCTAAAATAAGCACAGGTTTTTTGCGCACACCCTCCTGTGCTGGTTAATAATTTGACTTCACAGTCTGGTCACTCCAAGTCGTGACATTCAAATCCAGTTTCACGGAATACAGGTCTTTCCACACAGGTACTTGTGCCTGCCAAAAATGGGCTTAAGTCTATTTTAATTAAATTCTTTTACCATTTGCGTTTGGGTGAACCTTGAAACTGGTTTTCAGGTATTTGATTTTTTTTTAAATTGAAGATATAAAAGCAACTGAGCTAAGAATGACATTGATAGAGCCACGTTTACCTCACATTTCCCGTTGTAACACAATTTCTTTAGTTGTTAATAAGTTGATCTATCCTAAAAGGCTGAAAGACACATTCCTCTTTCTAGTTCTCCTGTTGAGTCCTACATAACTTTTTCCTACTGTTCCTATTTTTAGAACATTTTATCAAGGTCTGTTTGTATAGCCAGTGCTAACATACCATTTTTTCAGCTTGATCATGTGAAGAATTTTAATCCTTCCATGCGCAGGCTAGAAACTTTAAATTTATTAAGAGTGTGGAGGCAAAACATAACTCTAGAATCAAGACGACCTTATTCTGCTAATCCTGATGGAAAGTCAATGGAGCTGGGATTAATTAGGCTCTGAAATGCGCCATTTGCAGATGTTCAGCAGAAGGTTTGGGATTGAGCCCCACGGGTTTGTGGGTGGGAGAGTAAGATGAAGGCAGGAGCGAAGCATCGCTGGTGGGCACTGCAGCACTGGGCTTGGCCGTTTGGGCAGCTCCAGCTGGGAACAGCATCAGGTCCCTGAGGGAAAACACAGAGGTGGGGACAACCTCTAGGTCCGTGGCATGGTCTAGGTCCTGGTGAAGGCTGGGTCCTTGAGCAGGGTCGTTTTATGTGCAGTGCAGGGGACAAACAGCTCCTCGCTGCCACCCGCCAGCCTCACGAGTGCTCTCCCCACAGGTGTGCCAGAAGGCAGGTGAGATCTCCCTGCTCAAGCAGCAGCTGAAGGACTCCCAAGCCGACGTCTCCCAGAAGCTCAACGAGATCGTGGGACTGCGCTCGCAGCTCAAGGAAGGTAAGAACTTCCTACGGGAGAAAGAGGAGCAGATCCTCACCCTGAAGGACTCCTACAGCTCCAAGAGCGTCAACCTGGAGATCTGTGAGGGCGAGCTGCAGAGGAAGATGAGCGAGGTCCAGGTGCTGAGGGAAAAACTGAACCACTGTGAGCTGGAGGTCTCCGGCCTGAAGCGGACACTTGCCAGCATGGGACCCGCAGGGTCTTTTGGCGGGGACCTCGGGGAGAAGCTGCGGGACCCGCTGGCCTGCGAGAGCGACGAGGCCAAGATGCAGCGGCAGAGCGAGGACAGCGTGAACAGCCTGCGGCGGGAGGTGGAGCGGCTGCAGACAGAGCTGAAGCTGGAGCGGCAGCAGCGGGAGCAGCAGGTGATGGACTTCGAGGAGGAGCGGCGCACGTGGCAGGAGGAGAAGGAGAAAGTCATCAAGTACCAGAAGCAGCTGCAGCTGAACTACGTGGAGATGTACCAGAAGAACCAGCTGCTGGAGCACAAGGTCAACGAGATGAACACAAAGGCCACCAGCCCCCCACACACTGAGGAGAAGAAGACGTGGACTCCCTCCAGACTCGAGAGGATAGAGTCCACCGAGATCTGAGGGGGGACCAAGGCCACGCAACGGAATTTTTAATTGCTGTGCATGTACTACCTACTCAAGCCAGAGATCTTCCGAAGGATAATGCGCTCCCGTCGGAGCGGTGTGAGCGTGCTCCCACCAGGCTCCATCACCCTTACTCTCCACTTCTGTGCTCTGTAGGTACAATAACTGTGGATGTGCATTGGTTTTCTATCGATAAATGCGACATCTCGCCTGGGTTTTTTCCTAGTACAGCTGGTGAGGGTCAATTGGCTCTTTTGTAATCTGCCCTGACTGTTACTTCACTAGAGGCTGCCACCCCCTCTCCTACAATTCATCCTTCTTCGGTTGGTTGTTTTGGAGGGTTGTATTTGGTTTCTTTGGTTTTCCAAGCATTTACGTGCAGCAAAACAGTTCAAAGTGGCAGGTTTGTTGGTTTTTTGGGTTTTTTTTTCCAGGACGTTTTTAGCCACATTGGCTAATGGAGCAAAGCTCTTGGGATCATGAGCAAACTCAAGTGTTCTGCATCAAGTATCCTGTCTAGACGGTGGTCTTAGTGAAGTCAGTGTGAGCTTGGCCACTGATTTCAGTGAAACCAGACATATCTCTACCAGACAACTCCCTCTTGCCCTGGCTGCAAGAGGTTAGGACATCCTTGAGGAGCAGGATGAGGCCATCCTGGTAACAGAAGCCAACAAGGAATGATGTCCCAGCAGGAGCCTCTCTGGAGGCTCAGCAGAGCTTAACAAATGCTGCGTTTTCACTTCCTTGTGGTTTCCTCCTGCAGTCCCACTCCTCTCCCAGGTTGTGACCAACCCCGGGAGCAGAAATACCCTCCCACATCTGCCTTGGTCCCCTTACTCTTACTCTATACCCAGCTGGCTACAGCAAGAAAAAAGCTTGGAAAATCCAAGCTAGTTTCCCTTCCCAACAGCCCTCTTACTTCCCAAAGTCAATGGAATCGAGGTTTGGGGAAGCCTCCAAACCCATGGGATGTTTATGCAAACTGAAGCTTTAGCAATCTGCCCCAAAAGTGGGCAATTGTGCCACCCTGTCCCCAAACGAGCGACACCTTGGTGCACTCTCTTGGGCCAGGGTCTGCCTAAAAACAGCACTCGAGCCTCACTCAGGAGTTGCAGGGGGGCACAGCAGCATCACAGCTGGATTGCAGCGGTCAGCCTTCAGTACTGCCATTCCAAACAGCACCCACAGCCATCCCACGGGGCACCCCGGGGATGGAGATAACAACTCGCAAGCCTAGCTCAAGAAAATACTCAGCTACTAACTCTGAGCACGAAAGAAGTCATAAGAGGGGGAAATGCTTAAGATCACGCAAGTGCTTATGCCCTGGCAGAATAACAAACCAAATCCTACGTGCACAGTCACCGAGGCAGCCAAACCTGGCATTCCGGTTGAAAACGTGGGCAAGGTGAGCTCGGTTCTTCTTGTCACGGACAGTTTTTTACCACGAGTCACAACGAAGAGAAGAAAAATGTTGCAAAGTGGAGTTTGCGCTGGCCAAAGGATCAATAGGAGTGGGGATTTTGGCTCTTTGCCCTGGGGAGCAGCTAGAAGAGAAAAGTTAGGATTAGCACTGGGATGTCTTGAAATGTCTGTGATGTGACTCCAGGGTAAATTTGGCCAGGTTAAATTTCATGTGCATACCGAGGAAGAACCTGGAGGCCTTGAGGGGCTGAAGACCTTCCAAACAAAAGCCCTGAAGCTGCACATTTTCCATGTTCTGTCTCCCCAGAGCTCTCCTGTTCATGACCAGGTGTGACCATCAGTTTGAGAACAAACGATGTTGTGATGAGCTCCAGACTGAGCAGAGTGGAGACTGCAGTCAGTCCCACCAGCCCAAGCCATCAGACAGTGCTACTGGCCAGGAGCTGGTGGTGGCTGCCAGAGATCCCTGGAGCCACTGAAAAGTGGCAAGACCAGGGCATTTAAAGACCCCAGTTGATAATTCCTGTCTTTTCCCACCAGTTCTGCCCATGTATTTGGAGCTGGAGGAAAACAACTCATGGAAAACACCAGGGCAGCTCAGGCTAAGCCCCTTTCCCTGCACCAGCCATAAAAGGGAGGTTAGCTCAGGTCTGACTACTGCTGGGTGTGGGGAAGAGTCCTACTGCAAATCCTGAAGATGTCCAGCACTCCTGGTCATCAGCCCATGCAGCCCAGCCAGGAAGGAGTGCAGCTGCCTGCCAGTGCCACACAGCTGCAGACTTTGCCATGCCCAGGGAGACATCCACGTGCACCTGGCCAGGCAAATCCTAGAGCTTCCTCCACATCATACTCCAGGCCTTCCAGACAGAGTCAAACATCCCACAGTGTCAGGGCTGGAAATCTGGTGTTTTGCACCATCTCTGCTTTCTTTTCACATCGGACAAGCCCACGTTGTCCTCCCTCCCAAAGCAGGTGTTTGGTGTCTGTTCTTGTGAAGATTCTTCACCTTGGAGGAGGAAAGGCTCATTCCCTCCACCTTCTTCATTGCATCACATCGATCCAGAGCTTCAATCCAGATCTGAGAGACCTCAGCTGTGGACATTCCCTGGATGACAGAGCCTCACAGACACCCGTTAAGACTCTCTGCTGCTGATTTTCCCTCTCTTGGGATTCTCCCAGGATCCCCCAAGCAGCACCCCCAACTGTCCTACAGAAACCACCCCACCCCTGCTATGGTGACAGAAAACACAGATGGTTTTGGGAGCCAAACTGCCACAAAGGATTCCTGTGCTTCAGGATTCCTGCCCACAACTGGATGTGCTGCTCCCCATCAAGTCCTCTCCCCTGTGCCAGCCCTTTGCTCAGCAGAGACGGAGCAAAATGATGGTGAGACACCTGGATTCCTCTTGTTTGTGCCCAGGTGGAGCTCACCTGGCTCCTTCCAGATCTTTTGCACTTTCACAAGTTGATGAAATCTCCCACCAAATGCTTCGCTGAGGCTCTGGGGTCTTGCCCTGGATTAGGACAGCCAAGGGGTGCCAGGCTGGTGTTTGGGTGATGTGTCCTGGGAATGCCCAAGGAGGCTGGCAGCGTGTCTCTTGGAGGGTCAGGCAGGGCTGATGAATTGCTTCTGTCCCATGGAATTCCACCCAGAGTTTGGGCTTGACCATCCCCCAGCTGTGTCCTCCACCTTGGAGCTGGTGGAATTCAGTGTGACATCCTGGTTCTCGTGTCATTCTCCAAGCCCTGTCCCCAAAATCCTCTCTAACCTGCCACTGGCCACCACCACAAGCTGTGGCCGTGAGGGTCTCAGCTCAGTTGCCCACACATGAGGTCCACAAGCATTAGAGATGCTCTGGGATACCCAACACATGCAGCTGGACAATATGGTCCAAGATTTTGGGAGAGCCAGGCCAGTGGTGGCAGACCTGGAGCAGCTCTGGTGTCACAGGAACCCCATGTACAGAGCCCAGTCATGCTCCAGGCACATCCACACGGCAAACAGAGGACACTGATCAGCTCCAGAGGCTTCCATCCATGAGGATGTGGGCTAAGCAGGCTGTCCTGGTGCCAGGGAAGGTCTTACTCTGCTGTGAGCAGGGTTGCTTTGCTCCACCACCATTCCAAGGCTGGCTGCTACTACTGTCCCAGCAACCCAGCTGGGCTGATTCCAGCCCTCCCCTCTCACCCCCAGGGTGAACACCACAACCAGGGCACGTTGTTGTGCCTCACACAGCCCCACTTAGCTCCTGCCACTGTCTGCTGGCAGCTGGTGGCCCCAATCCTGCTGTCACTGGTGGTGGTCACTCACCTCTGGGTTTCCACGCTCCAGAGAGGAATGGAATTGTTGCTCTTATGCTGTTGTACAGAGAGAAGTGTATTTGGATGTAAATAAGAGCCCAGCTCTGTATGTTGATGATTAAAAGGAGACAAGAAGGCTCTGTGGCTTCTCTGTTGGCGAGCGGGGCTGAGTGCTGAGCGCTGCACACAGGGTGCCCAGCACCCCGACCTGGGCCTGGCTGCACTGGGAATCTGGGCTTCAGCACCTCCCAGGAAAGCAATCCACTTGGGATTAGCTCAGCCTGGTGTGTCACTCTGTCCTGCTTTGATGCTTGCTGTCACTCTGAGCCAGGTGTGCAATGGCCCCTGGTTAAGGGTGAAGTTCCCTCTGCCTGTCTGGTGTCACACCCGGACTCCATGCAGTGTTTCCCAGAGTGTCCCCCTGAGCTGTGCCCATGGAAAGGACCATCCTGCTCCCCTCCTGCCCCTTGCAGTGGCACTTTATAGCTCGCTGAAGGCAGTGAGCTCATGAGCAACATGACCAAAGATCTCCGGGGAGTGCTGGGCTACGTGCTTGGAGCTGTGTCCTGGCTTTCCTGCAGAGACGTGAGGCTGGGGTGGGCTGGAAAAGGGGAAGGAGAGCTGGCAGGGGACATGATTTCCCTATGTCCCACCTGGGAATGTCTGCAGGTCCATAAGGGCCTTTCCTGGACGAGATAGGACAGGATAGAAAGGAGTTCCTGGGTGAGGTGATTATCCCTAGTTGGTGACACCGGTATCCTCCACAGCCATACCAGTTAGCTCCACACATTTCCCATGGAGAATATGGGCAAGGGGCTGTTCCTAGGAGCTGGGATAGATGCCATTCCCTTTTTTCTTGAGGAGAAGAGAGGACGCACGCCAAGCCATGCACCCTCTTGTCTTCAGGCTACTTCATGCCTCTCATCTTCAGAGCAAGAGGTTAGCAGCAGACACCACTACAGGGTCCAGTCAATTGTTCTGGCTCAGTGGGAATTGTCCAGGAAAATGAGCATCCTGAGAGCTGGTGGTCCTGCTGGCTGCCCCCTTGGTGTCCTCTCCACAGCTCACCCCAGGGCATCCTCAGCACCCTCCTTAGCAAGGAACCAAATTCCAAGGTGAAGGCAGTGTGTTCTTCACTTCTCCTGCTTGGGGTGTTGAAGGCATCTGCACCCACCTTTGCTCCAAGAAGGTTCCTGGACCTGGCAGGAGGTCAGTGGGAGGTCTGTGCTCCTGAAGGTGGGTGTTCAGGTGGGTCTGGGCCTTGGGCAGATGCCTCTCAACTGTGCCTCTGCTCCCCAGCCATTCTCTTTTCCACTCCATCCCTGGGATAAGAGAGAGCTCAACTCGCTATTAATTTAACCCAAACCTTCAGTTTAAGCCTTGAAACCCCTTTGTATTTACTGTTCACCAAGACTCCTTGCTAAAGATCTGTTCATGTATTGCCTGTGCCCTGCTGCTCCCCTGCTCCAGCTCTCCAGGCTCTGCTGCCTCCTTTCAGACCATCCCCACCCCACTGGAGCAGTCAGTGCCTCTCCCAGTGCTCTCCCAGGCACATCTGGACAAGCTGGAGCTGCAGCCCCCACTGAGAATGGGTTATCCCAATCCCTGCTCTCAGGAGCTTTCCAGAACACTGATCCTCTCCTCTCTGATGTCTCCATGGCAGCTCCATCAGCCCTGCTTTACCTCCAAGGACATTGTGGCTTCCTGCTGAAGGACATTCCCATGGCCTGCAATCCTGTGGGATCTTTGCACGGGGATTCACACCATCACCACCAGCTCTGGAGTTCCCTGGTCCTTCCACCCTCTGGAAAAAACAGGGGTCTGAGGGGTGTCTGAGGTCCTTAGGGGCACACAGGACCCTGCAGCGTACCAAGGGGCTGGGGTCACATCCAGCTGTTTGCAGATGTTGGCTTCCCAACAGGATGTTCCATGCTGGCAGAGGAGCTGCTGGCAGCACCAAGCTGCTGTATTTTCAGGATAATCTCCTCCCTGGTTCTCCCAGTGACGGGGATCGTGTCAGGTCTGGAGCCTGGACCAGGCTGTGTCCCCACAGCTCTTTCACAAATCTGTTCTCCCCAGCAGGAAGTCTCTGCTTTCTGTCCCAAAGCAATAGGTTTTTCCAGGGAGATTTCAAAAGGACTCTTCCCAACTCTGACACCTGCAGGCAAGCCAACATTCCCATGAATACCTTTATATCTCCAGCCCTGGCCTCCACCCCTTTGGAAAGGGATTCAAGGTCCAGTCTGGCTCTAAATACCCACAGTGGTCTGAGCTTGGTGGGCCTGTTTATTCAGAGAGCCCAAAGCTTCCCACATCCAGCCTGGACACCCAGGAGGTGTCACCCACCCCCTCCGTGGCTGTCCCTGGGTCCCTGCAGCAGGTCTTCTCCACCTGGGAGCCACTGGGGTGTCTGAGCTCACAGAGCCACGTTCGGTGACAACCAGTGGGCCGCTCTGCCATTCCCGAGAGTCTCCTGGGAGGAGAAGGCCCCTTCACCCCTTCCCCATGACCGACAGGAGCAGAACACGCGCGGGCAGAGCTCCAGGAGCGCCCCAGCACCACGCAATGCTGCACACCCGGCTGAAGTGTCTATGCAGTCCCTCCCCAGGCAGCCGCGTCCCTGCAGAGCCCAGCCCAGGGCTCCTCCAAGGTGTCTTCGTTTGCACTCTCCAGGACCTGGAAATCGCTGTGAGCCCAGAGGAGCCTTCGCCGCGCTCCGGGCACCGCACCGGGGAGGCTTTTCCTCGCCCCAAACCCACGCAGGCGGCTGAGAGCAGCTCTCCAGCAGAGCTGTCCCCACAAAATCCCGGCTGCCCCGGGTGGGCGAGGCTGTGTCCGACCTCACCAGCAATAACAGGAGCTGCCCCTCCGCAGCAGCAGCTCCTGCGCGACACGCCCGGCGCCGCGCTGCACCTCCCCGCGTGGAAATTCAGTCCCAGCCTCGTGCTTTTCTTCCCTCTCGTTTCTCGACGCCTCGGCGGCTCCCTCTTTTTCTTTTTAACTCTTTTTCTCTCTCTCTCTCTCTGCTCTCTGACTGTGAATTCAAACCAGAAGTGTTCTGAACTCGACTCCGTTACTGTTCTGTCTCTGCGTCGACTGTTGCTGGTTCTCCGAACTGCGTTCAAACGAGACTTTGCAAAATAAAAAAAATTTAAAATTATATATATATAAATATATATATATACTTTAAAAAATAATAAAAATATTTAAAAAAAAGAACTCCATAAAGTCGGGTGTCTCTCCTGTCCACTTGGTCACTTCCAAACACTGTTGTCTTGACTTTGCCTCTGGTTAAGTGTGTTTAAAGACAAAATGTTGAACAAAAAAAAAAAAAAAAAAAAATAAAAAAAAAAAAAAAAAAAAAAGGGGAAAAAGGCATTTTGTCACTGCCAGGGTTTGTGTCAAGGCTCCTTACCCCGAATTAAGAGATTACTCTGGGCTCCCAGACAGCACCTTCACACCACTGCCCCATGCAGGAACTGGTTCCTCTCTCACCTTCTTGTGCCTTTTAGTTGTTTTAGTTGTTTTAGTTGTAGTTATTTCTTTCTTTTTTTTTTTT